AGTTAATGTCTTCTATCCATGCATCAAATGCTTAAACGAAAGAAAGAACCGCTAGTTTTAAAATATTTTCTGAAGGTGGATCCACCTGGAGAGCTATGATGTTACAAAGTGAGGACAGCTACGAAGGGTTAATTAACAAAATAGCCAAGTAAATGCGCTTCTGAATATTGTACATTGGTAGCTACACCACGTTGAGACTGAATTAATATTCGATAACTTGTACAAGAGACATTTGTCTGAATGTATTGTACTGCGCAATAAGTTTGACGGCCAATATCCTGTTGTGCACCACATCCGCTTGATCCTTCGTAAATCAATTGCCACTGTGTTTCTTTTTCTATTGGTGTTGTTGCATTACTACCTTCGATTGAGATTGTCAATGGATCTTTAGCAGCCACATTTGAGCCCGTAGCAAACTGAACACCCGTCAGGACAGAGAGACCTTTTGAGAGAATAACAACGAAACCAGTACCAATACCGACCGTATCACTCCACATTCCATTACCAAAATTCAGATATTTTGTCGTTAAATCATTGTCAATAATGTTTTCGACGCCCTTATTCATCAAGTATTGACACTGATTCAAGCCGTTGGTGATTTTCTGACTGTTTCCGTCTCCTACACTTGTGTTACATATACCAACTATAAAGTCATTACTATTCATCAGTGTGTTTGTGGCTAAAAAGAAGAATTGATTTATCAATGTATGTTGTTATTGATCAAACCAATTATTAAGAACACAAACTGGTAATGACTTTTGTCTCTTTCCAATTTAATACTTCTCATTATTTTTATTTCAAGAGACCACAGTTCCATAAATTAATAGAACCAATCGCTTGCGTTCTTTAACAGTTTTTTCTAATTCTAACATGTAAAATCTTGCTAATTTAATTACATCAGAATTAGACATGGGATGCTTTTACTCTTGCATTTTTCTAATAGTATTCACAAGATACGATTCTTCCTGTTTAGATAAAATCGTTTTCCGACCTGGTGAGCCACAGCCATTTATACCTGATACATAGTTGTACAATGTGCTTTAAGGAATTCTG